CCTTCTAACTACTTATTCTTTTACGTAATTTTAAACAACTTCTATGTTCTTACATGCTTTGCAAATGATATTGTTTCTGTAAGTTGGATTTGGAAACTATTTGTTGAGGACTCAATTGTATATGTCTCTGTAGCTTTGTAGAATGTATTGTTTGATGTTAAGATTATCGTAACTGCTTTAGTTTGCCAAGAAACTATGAGTCAGTGATACGCTTCGTTCCGAGTATACTGAGACCTTTGCAGCTTTGCAATTTCATGTTTCATATGAATTCATATGCTAAGGCCATACGTTCTCCTTTTTTTCCGTAATGTATTTGTTTCCGACGTAATCACTAGGCCAATGCTTCTAGCATCGTGAGGACCTAAGTTCAAACATTGCGGGCTACTATCCGACATAGCTGTTACGAAGCCACTGAATGTTGTTTGATTAGCCTGACAGTTAAGCACTTAAACGTTTTCTTGTTGATGTCATCTTGCTGAAGTTTTGAACTGTTGGTAGCTTTCTAGTTTTATATAAATATATTTCTTTCAGAAGACCCAAGATCGGATTGTATTGGCCGAAGGTGGCTTTTTGCTGGCTATTACTTTATTTCTTCATCAGCATCGTGTGGACACTAATAGAGCACTAAATTTTTTAGGAGCTCTGTGTGTTACATTCAACATAGCTACTGTTGCTGCACCTTTGGCCGCATTGGTAAGTTTTTTTTTATAATTTGAATATGGAAAACAATTATTTTACGAGGAGATTACTTTTCCAACGAATATAGCTGCTTCTTTGCAATTGCATTTTTAGAGAAAATGCATTATGATAGTTCTCGCAGTATTATTTACACTGGCAAATTTTAAATAATTCTCGATCATAGTTATTTAGCACGATGTAATAAAAATCCGTTCTACTGAGAACCTTCCTCTGCCGATGTGCATTGCAAACTTATTAGTGACATCAGAATGGTTCTTGTATGGTATAATGGTCAACGACTTCTTTATCAAAGTATATATAAATTCTTCTTTGCTCCTAGTTTCTTTGCACTGTACTCTGCTAATTAATTATTATGCTTCAATTTTATAGTTGCCTAATGCTGTTGCTTTGGTTATTTCAATTGGTCAAATTCTACCGTTCTTCCTGTACCCTCGGAAAAGGAAGTCATCGTTTTCTGACGTCGAAAAGCTTTGAATGTGACCTTCAGTATTTCATGGGTAACCACAGTCAATTCTCAGGAATTTCACTTATCATTACTCAGCTGGTGGCTACCTCAAACAGAATATTTTGTAGTTTCGCTTATTTTTTGTCCGAAAAAATATATTTTTTTTTATTTTTGTTCTGATTTTGTCCGAAAAATCTCCTAGCTAGTTTGCTAACAAGACTTTTAGTGGTATTTGTTCATATTTGCTCCCAAGTCTCGTCATTAGGTTTCTTACGATTTATATATACGTTGTAAATTTTTATAATCGTTTATCTTTCTCCTTTCTTCTTGTACTTATACTTCTGTAACTCAAATGTATTCATGTGCACATTAATGATTGATCGGGTGTATTTTTTCAAGAAATGTTTTCTCAGAAATGCTAAAAATTTCTAGTGGTCAATTCTACTTTTTCCTCTCTTACTAACTCATACTCGTCACCTACCATTTTGTCTTTGGATTTTCCATCAAATGGCTTAAAATAAACCCTGTGACCTCCAAATACTGTAGTTTATGCACATATACCATAAGCGGAGAGTTCAGCTCACTTGAAGTTCGTGGGTTGCGGTCGTATAAACTCGTTGTGTATCCACGTTTGGCAGCGTAGAGGTGTGGTCTGGCGAGGATTGTAATGCTTTTATTTATAGGTACGAAAGGCGAAGCAGGGGAGAGGCTTCCGAGGGTATATAAGTAGGCGGTTTGGGTTGTTGACTAAGTGGCCAACTGCTTTCCCACTACTTTCTACTGTGAAGCGTTCTCGTTATTCACTTTGAGTTTCAACTGATTGGAAGGGTTGCCAGGTGTACTCTCCGACTTCATCGAATTCAGCGTCTTCTATGCAGCAGTGAATTAGATGCTTTAAAGTGCCAATTTAAGCAGGTATATGTTTAAAAAATAGTTCTGAGAGGGAAGAGGAGGGAGAGGCAGTACCACTAATCGCTGTCGACTCTTAAAATTGCAATAGTTGAAGATAAGTGAACCAACTCTTCTACGTTCAACATTTTTTTCTAAACCTCCTCATAAATGGTTATACATATTTGTCTGAAAAATTTTACTTTATAAGCCCTGACTTAGCAATGTTGGAAACTTTATATACACAGGGGAAGAACTGACTTCATCCATTAGCTGCCCTAAATAGCTTATGCGTCAGAAAAAATTTGATGGTGGTGGAGGAATGGCAGTCCAGGAAGAGGTTATGCAGCAAAATAACACGACGACTTAGCAACAGTTTACCGCCGGCTCCGAATTAACTCTTCTTGGCCGCCGTGAACTGAACCTCTTGTTTCGCTTTTTCTTATCTTATTACAGTTTATAAGGTTTTAAATTGCATTCTTCGATGCGGTTATATACGACTGATTGCTCCTGACAGTAAAGCAAAAATCCATTTACTGCAGAAAAGAGACCGAAAATAAGCATAACAAACTTGAACCGTATTTATATCCATCATGTTAAGTACATATGCAGCTACGTATCAAACGCGGTTTCGTAAAACAGGAAAACAAAGAAAACGAGTGGAACTCATCGTTTGTTTCCTTTTTTTTTACTGAACCTAAACTCTATAGATCAGGATTTACTGAAAACATGCAACAAATGTAGCACTTCAACCCCTACATAAAACCTTTAGAACTTCAGCATTTGCTACCTCGCTTTGCTACACTACCTTCTTAATGAATTAAAATTTTTGGCGACATCACTTTTTTCCTTTTTTTTTTTTT